AATAAATAATAAAATAAAAAATAAATAATAATATAAATAATATTTATAATATATGTAATAATAATATTGAATATATTGAACTATATAATATAAATGTAAATATATTGGATAGATTGAAGATATTAAATATATTACATATATTACATATTTAATATTTTAAACTATTCAATATATAAACTATATTAGATATCAAATGTAAACAAATATTTAATAGATCAAACTATTAAATATATTGAGCATTAATTAGATTAACTAGAGGAAATACTAAACATGTCAAACTATTAAATATCATTAACTCAAATATTAAGTAGATCAAACGATTGAATCGAATTCCTGTTCAATATAGAGAAGAATTAGATATTAAAAGATTCTAAGGTATTCAACTATTGCATTATTTGACCTGTATGTTGAGACAGTCCCATTGGCTGCCAACAAAGAGGGTTTTGATGTCCCTGTGAGGCCCAGATTTGTCCTGGTTTGGTTCCCCAACCAAAGAAATGGAGGCAAAAAGGCCTTGGAGGGGCTGATCTGGTCTCTTGGTGTCCGGGAGGTGGATTCTTCAGGGACCTTCCTGCTGGGAATTCTCCAGGAACCTTCCTGCTGGGAATTCTCCAGGGCCCTTCCTGCTGGGAATTCTCCAGGGCCCTTCCTGCTGGGAATTCTCCAGGGCCCTTCCTGCTGGGAATTCTCCAGGGCCCTTCCTGCTGGGAATTCTCCAGGGCCCTTCCTGCTGGGAATTCTCCAGGGCCCTTCCTGCTGGGAATTCTCCAGGGCCCTTCCTGCTGGGAATTCTCCAGGGCCCTTCCTGCTGGGAATTCTCCAGGGCCCTTCCTGCTGGGAATTCTCCAGGGCCCTTCCTGCTGGGAATTCTCCAGGGCCCTTCCTGCTGGGAATTCTCCAGGGCCCTTCCTGCTGGGAATTCTCCAGGGCCCTTCCTGCTGGGAATTCTCCAGGGCCCTTCCTGCTGGGAATTCTCCAGGGCCCTTCCTGCTGGGAATTCTCCAGGGCCCTTCCTGCTGGGAATTCTCCAGGGCCCTTCCTGCTGGGAATTCTCCAGGGCCCTTCCTGCTGGGAATTCTCCAGGGCCCTTCCTGCTGGGAATTCTCCAGAGACCTTCCTGCTGGGAATTCTCCAGGACACCAAAACCCTCCCAAAACGCTTCGGCGTGAACGGTTCTTGTCGTGGGGCTGGTGGGGCTGGTGGGGCTGGTGCTTCCCAGGGTTCTCCTCTGGCTCCCTCTGCTTCCCAGGAACGTGGACTCACCCCCAGCTCTCCTGAGCTCCAACCAACAACTTGAACATGTTTGGAACCTCCTGGCCAAGCCCTTCCAGAGGGGCAAGTTCCTTCTTCTTCGAGCCCGAAACTTCCATGTTGGGATTGGAATCTTCTCAGCCTGGTTGCTCTGAGTGACTCTGCTCACCTGGACACTGGGTACTGGTGACACCCGAGCGTTTCCTGCCAGCAGCAGCTTCTGCCACTGCCTTTTCTTTGGGTTCCTGCTCCTTAAAGATGGAAATGTTGAATTTTGACTCTTCGGAGCGTGTTTCTCTCGCGGGTGTCGGGACAACCTGCCCCTTTGGTGGCCCTTGGACCACAGGGGGGGGGATGGGGTGTTGCTGCATCCTGTGTGTCTTCTTCTTGGGTTGTCCACCCTTAGGATAAGACCATCACATTTGGGTTGGAAGGGACCTTAAAGGGCATCGAATCAGGACGAGCTGGGTCGGGACCCTCCTCACAACGATGAGTTTGGGGATTTCTCCCTTGGGAATGGACTTGGGGTTGGGTGTTTTTCTCCAGGTTGTTTTTAAGAGGTTGTGGCTCTTGGAGAAGGACTCTGAACCCCTGATGTCTCTCCGTGGAAGAGCTTTTCCAGATGGGTTGTGGATGTGCTGAAGGGTGGGTTGGATGGGGCTTGGTGGGAAGTGTCATGGAAGGGGGTTGGGATTGGGTGAGGTTTAGATTATGGAACAGTTTGGGTTGGAAGGAACCATCTAGAGGATCATCTAGATGATCTTTAAGGTGGTTGTCCCACCCCTGGAGCATTCCAGGCCAGGTTGGATGGACTTGGAGCGACCTGGTCTAGTGGGAGGGGTCCCTGTCCATGGCAGGGGGTGGGACTGGATGACCTTGAAGGTCCCTTCCAACCCAACCCATCCCATAGGTCCTGCCTTCACCTCTGGCCATCACAGAGTTATAGAGGCTGGAAAAGACCCCTGAGAACATCAAGTGCAGCCTGTGACCTGACACCCCCACATGTCCAGCCCAGGGCACCAAGTGCCACCTCCAGCCTTTCCTTGGACACCTCCAGGGATGGTGCCTCCACCACTTCCCAGGTCTGATCACCCTTTCCAGGGGAAAATCCTTCCTGAGATCCAACCTCAACCTCCCCTGGTGCAGCTTCAGGCCAGGCCCTCTGGTCCTGTCCCTGATTGACTGGGAGAAGAGCCCAGACCCTTGACCACAACGTCCCTTCAGGGACCTGCAGAGAGTGAGAAGATCCCCATTGGAAAGGGCCAGAAATTGTGCCAGGGGAGGTTTAGAGCAGAGATGAGAACTTCACCAAATGAGTGGTTGGACACTGGGACGAGGAGGTGGTGGAGTCACCATCTCTGGGAGGGTTTAAAAGACAAAGAGATGTGGTGCTTGGGGACAGGGTCTGAGGTGCTGGTTGGACTTGATGATCCTCAAGGTCTTTTCCAACCCGGATGGTTCTGTCACTTCTGGGAGCCCCCAGGGCAGCACTGACCAGGCTCTGGCCCCTTCTTGGTACCCACCCCTCAGATATTTGTAGCCACCAACAAGGACCTTCCATTCCTGTGTCACTGACCACAAGGACCCACCTTTTCTTCTGAACTGAGGTGGGTTTTGATGGGAGTCGTGGTCTGATCTGGGTGGCATCTCCAAGGTGGGTTCCCCACCATCCTGCTCACCAGCTGGTTCCCCTTGCAGAGCATCCTGGCCATGGTGCAAGGAGATGGAGCAGGTGGGAACCCTGGGGACACATTTACCCACGTGCAGGGACTTGTCACCACTGGTGCCCACCCAAGCCAGGTGGGCAGAGGACAGAAGCTCCATGAGCCCTGACTGGGCTCCTCAGGGAGGGTAAGTGGTGGCACCAATGGTCCATCTCCCTCTCACACTCCCTGGTGGCCTCTCTGCTCCTTCCTTCAGCTGGGCAACCACCCTGAGGTGCTCCCAGGATCTCTGCTGTTCCCCAGAAGGAACCTGGGGGTTCTGGTGGACCAGAAGTTCAACCACATCAAAAGAAGCAGGGCCAGCTGGTTGAGGGAGGTGATTCTCCCCCCTCTACTCCAGTGAGGTCCCACCTGGATCCCTCCTGTGTCCAAATCTGGGGTCCCACGTCCAAGTTTGGAGCCCCTCAACATCACCAGGACATAGAACAAGAACCTAAGAAGGTTCCACAAAGGGCTGGAGCAGCTCCCCTGTGAGGAGGGGCTGAGGAAGTTGGGGTTGTCTGACCTGGAGAAGCTGATGAGGCTCCGTGGGGACCTCAGAGCAACTTCCCAAGGGGGCTCCAGGAAAGGTGGGGGGTGAGAGGACAACGGGTGATGGCCTGAAGCTTCAAGACTGAGGTTGGACAACAGAAGTTCTTTACTGTGAGGGTGGTGAGACCCTGGGACAGGTTGCCCAGAGAAGCTGTGGAGACCCCACCCCTGGCTCCAAGGGCAGGTTGGATGGGGCTTGGAGCAACCTGGGCTGGTGGGACCGTGCAAGGGGTGGGACTGGGTGGTCTCTGAAGGTTCTTCCAACTTCCTGTGACTCCCCAGATGGGGTTGGAGTCCCCAGGTCTGCTGGGAGGGGTCCTGACTCATGGCAGGGGGTTGAGACTGGAAGAGCTTTAGATCATGGGGTAGTTTGGGTTGGAAAGGACCTTGAAGACCATCTAGAGGTGGCTGCCCCATCCCTGGAGGGGTTCCAGGGCAGGTTGGATGGAGCCTGGAGCTTCTCCATGTCCTCCAGGCCCTTCCCCTTGCTCTCCAGAAGCTCTTCATGTTCTCCAGCCCCTTCCCCATCATCTCCAGCCCCTTCCCTGGACTCTCCAGCCCCTCCACGTCCCTGTCCCGAGGGGCCCAAACCCAACCCTGGGTCTCCTTGAATCCCAGACCCTGTTGGGGGGTGAAGGGACCTCAAAGACCCACTCGTTCCACCTCCCAGGGGGTGGGAACCCCCCTGGTGCCCCCTCCCACGCCTGGGTC